CTGCTACCAAAAGACTTCTGGCCCCTCAGCTGCTTCTCGCACTGCGCCCGGTCATCGGGGTGAACTCCGAGTTCCTGCGCGCGCAGCAACTGCACAGGCCGATCTGCAAGGCTCCGAGTCCGACGGCGTTCGGCCCGCTGACGAACATACGCAAGGGCGGACTTCCAGGCCGTCGTGTTGGCGGTCCAGACCACCAAGTCACCGCGCGGCTTGGACTTCTTCTTCGGAGGCCGCGGCTCGCCAGTAGGGACAGGCCCAACACCACCTCCCAACCGACCCTCGTCGTCCCCAGCGGTCGGTACTTCACGTACCTCTGTGCCCGCAAGGCTGGCAGGGGGATCCGTGCGCGCCGCATCGGTCGGTAATTCGCCCCCTGCTGCGCCCGCAAGGCGAGGTGGATCCGCGCGTGCCGCTGGGGCGGTAGAACACCACTCAACTGGATCAAGAGGAGGAGGCTTGACAAAATCCATGGGCCCAGTGTCGCAACAAATCCAAGAAGGTCCGTCAGGGAAAAAATCTGCAACCGACGAAGACGAGGTAGCCGCAATCGGACACGTCGACCCAACGCAAGTCCACGCAGATGCCGAAACGGACCCAGGCAAACCGATCTGGGAACTCGAAGATGTCGTGCTGGCTCTCCGTGGGGCGTCTTCTGCCAGGCCTACCACGGGGCGCTCGCCGTGCAAGCACGGGGCCACCGCAGTAGGCGTGGTGAGTGAGTGCCCTGGCGCCCATGTACACGTGGACGCCGCAGACGGAGAACGCGAAAAGGAAACTGACCCACTGGAAGTGGCCGTACTCGAGCACGCAATAGAAGCCAACGTTCTGCCAAACTGCGCTGAGCCACCCGGTGCGAACGAAGGCGCCTCTGGGTCGAATCGGAAACAGCCAAGGCTAAAGGGTCGACCCTTTCTGTGCCTGCTTCCTGGCTTCGTCGAAGAGCGTCTCGTCATCACAATCACTGGGCGTCGCTTGGGATTCGCCTGACGTAAGGCCCACCTGGGCAGGGGTCCTCTGCAAGAAAGCACCCGAAAGATCTCTGTCCTGCATGCCGTCTCCTGTCGACGCTGGGGCCGTAGCCGCGGGCGCGGAGGGCCCCTCAGCAGCACCTGCGCCTCCTGCTGGAACTGGCACATCGGCAGCGCCTGGCGGTGTTCCTGCCGCGGGCGCACCTGGGGCTTCACCAGGCGGCTCTTCGCGCCCCCTGCGCTTGGAGTCGACCATGCGGCGGTTGAATTCTTTGCGAACCTCCACCGAGCTGGCGGCCTTCTCCTTGGCCAGGCCAAAGGCAGCCTTGGTGGCCTCCCTGAAGATGCCGAGCAGCTCCGACTTACGACGATCCAACTCGGGTCGCTCAGAAGAGGAAAGCTCGAGTCCTTCGCCACCGAGGCCGAAGACCCCACGGGCGTCCAGCTCGACATCAACCCCTTCGAGCAACGCATGGAGGTCCAGCAGGGGCCTCCCCTTGCTGTCAGGCGCGGCCCCTGGAGCTGCAGGAAGGACTTGCTGCAGCGCTCGGGCTGCGTCGTGGTAATCGGACTCCCTTCGCTTATATTCTGCATGCGCCGCCACCGCCTTGCCCTTGGCCTCGGCCAGAGACTGCTCGATGCGCTCCGCCGCCTGCACAGCCTTGTCCAGCTTGATCCTGGCCATCTCGAACGCGTGCTTGGCAGCTCCGACTGTTGGCGGCGTTGGGGCTCTCTCTGCGCGCGTGCTCGAGCCGCGCAACGATGGCGGACTAGTAATCGCACTGCTGCTTGTCACCAAGCTCCTTGAAGGCGGCAGAGAGCTGCCTGAGCCTGGGCAGGTCCTCGTCCCCGAACTGGCGCCGGGGGCCCTTGGCGCAGCCGCCGCCGCCGACCAGCTGCAGGCCAGGGGTGGCTGGAGCGCCTCCGCTCGCGTCGCCGCCGCCTGGAACCCCAGGCTGGCCGCTGGGCGCGCCCGCGTGGCCCTTGCCGCCCTTGCCGCCAATGCCCATGAGCTGCAGCCCTGACCGCATGGCGAGCGCCATATCATACCCAGCACCAGGCGCCTGGTACCCTGCGTGCCACTGAGGCGCAGCATGAGCAGCACCCCACACGCCAGGAGTCCCAGGAGCTGCAGGCCAGGGCATGCCGAAACGTGGCGCCTGCCGCGGGGCGTGACAGTGCTCGCACCACGTCCACCTTGCCTCATTGCGCTGGCACCCGCTCTCCGAACAACGCCGGCACTCGCTCTGCGCCGTTTTGGGCGCAATATGGCCATCGGGGCGCTTCGTGCCCATGGGGCGCGAGGGAAGGACGACTGCTCCGCCAGGAGCTCACGAAAAGAACCTCGTCTGGCCAGGCCAACGAGGGGCTCTGTGGTGGCCGCTGCTCCCCCTTGCCGGTGAGGCCAGGTCCTGAGCCCAAGGGCTACGGACTTGAGCCAAAATGGCTACGGACTCCTCTTCCTCCTCCTCCTCCTCCTCCAGCCCCGAGGGGGCCCCTCCCGTAGGGGAGGGGTCGGGGCCCTAAGGCCCCCCTGGCGCAGGCGGGGAGCGCCGGGCCCGAGGGGCGAAAAGCCCCCGCACCCCGGGGGACGCCGCCAAAGTGCGGTTTCCTTCCCCCGGGGGGGTCGCCAGGTCCCGTGGCCTCCCCCAGGGCGGTGCCGGTTCCCCCCAGCGCTCGCCGCCTTGGGGCGGGACCGGCGGCTCGTCTCTGTCGCGTCGTTCGTCCGTGTCGCGTCGTTCGTGTCGTGTCGTTTGGAGGGTGAAAGTGGGGGTCGGGCGCAGGGTCCCCGCAATGATGCTTTTGAAGGCCATGAATGGGCGATGCATCCTCGATTGCTGTGTTCGGTGGGGGTGCTAATTGAAGCCCCCCACCTGCACCCGCGCGCGAGACTTGAGGGGGGAGGAAGCAAGGGGGCGGGGGGCTCGGGAAAGGCGACGAAGGCAACGTGCGCTAAGGGCGCAAAAAGAAAAGGCTGGAACACACGAAAGCGGTCAGGTGAGTGTCGAAATCTGCCCAGCCAATCTGACATGCGGAACACTGCGCCTCAGTTTTGGGGATCTTGAAGGCCAGGGCAAAATGTGAATTCACGTTGTGGGGAAAAGCAAAATATGAATTCACACTTGGGGAAAAAAGGAAAATGTGAATTCACATTTTGGGAAAAAGGAAAATGTGAATTCACATTTTGGAATTTTGTGTAGGATTCTTTATGAAAGGGGCCAGAATGTGAATTCACATTTTGGGAAAAAGGAAAATGTGAATTCACATTTTGGGAAAAAGGGAAATGTGAACTCACATTTTGGGAGAATCGCGGGACCCATTCCAAATCTGTCTTGGGAGTCGAGTAGTCATCGTTTGGGAACATACGCGATCATCAACCGCACAATCAAGACACACTTGCACTCCACTTCGCCGACCCACACGCAATATGCAAGAACGCCCGCACGCATGAACGATAATGGATGGACGGCGCGTGTGCCCGCGCGGGCAACGCGCGGGCACAAATGACTGGCCACCAATGACCGCCAGCATTGGATGCCAATCGTACCCGATCACAGACATGAGCGATACATTGAGCATACATGGGCCATTCAGCCCCCATTGAAGACCCCCTGTTGCAGACCCCCTCTTTCACCCTCCAAGTCGTCCGTTTCGTCCCCCCGTCGTGTCGCGTCGTGTCGTGGTCCCTTTTTTGGTTCGGTCCTGGGGGCCCCGGGGTCCGAAACCGCGGCCACCCATGGAGTTGGTGGTGGGTAGGGTGGCGTCGGAGCGCGGTTCTGGCGCCCCCTACCCCGATCAGGGAGCGCGGAGCACGGTCTCCTTGCGTTCCCTGGTCGCGCTCGGGGCGCGCCGCGGGGGCATGGCCCCGACAGTGGCGCTGCCCCTGCAGTCTCAGCCTCCTGGCTGTGCTGCGTGGCGTTGAGCTTGCTCATCGGAGTCCGCCAGCTCGCTAGCGTTGTGGTTGTTGATGTTAAAAAAAATCCTCCTCCTCCTCCTCTTCCTCCTCCTCCTCCTCCTCCTCCTCCTCCTCCTCATTCTCCTCCTCCTCCTCCTCCTCCTCCTCCTCCTCCTCCTCCTCCTCCTCCTTTTCCTCTTCACCCCTCCTCCTTCTCCCCACCCTCCTCGTCCTCGTCCTCGTCCTCCTCCTCCTCATCCTTCTCCTCCTCCTCCTCCTCCTCCTCCTCCTCCTGTCCTCTTCCAAGACGTCGCGGGATCTTCTCGATGCGATCTCGGTCATGGTCAGCGTCGGCCGTAGCCGGTTCGCGAGGATGGTCCGCGAAATGATGCCGAGCAAGATGAACGGTGCTGTAAAGTCGACGCGACGCTTCCGCCTTCAGTCTTGGTCATGACCCCCGTTATCTTCCCCTCCACAGAGTTACTTACATTGCTGCCTGTATACTATATGAAGATATTGGGGTGCAGCGCGGTCGACGACGAGCTGGGCTCGATTCGTGCTCGGTTCAGACTATTTCCTCTGGGCTCCTCCTTGGTCGCAGCAGCGCCCCCTCCCGACTAGGCTTCCGAGAAGGGTGCCGCTGCACAGCGAAAACGTTAAATTAAGGACCGTTTTGGGCTCAGGGACGCTGAGCAGCGGGTTCGTCCTCGCCGACAGTTGCGCGTCAGTTCCCCGCGTAAGGTCGCGCATGAGTGATATCGTCTCCAACAGTAGCGTGCCGCGCTGACGGCCCACGTCAGCCACCTCGTAATGTCGCCATGCCATTCGTGGGTCGAGTGCCGATCTGGACTCTCTTCATGTGCTGATCGCGGCTCTCGGGGTCCATACTTTTCGACTGAGGAGGGGGGGAGGAGGAGGTCAGAACGCAACAGCCCCGTCGCTAATGTTTGTCTAACCCCAATCGGAGGAGGAGGAGGAGGAGGAGGAGGAGGAGGAGGAGGAGGATGATATGGGGGCAGCCAGGCGAGGGGGGGGAGATGGAGGAGGGGGAGCAGGAGGAGCAGGATGGAGATGAGGAGGAGGAGGAGGAGGAGGAGGGGGAGGAGGAGGCCTTCACTTGGCCCCCGTGCGCCCAGGTCCTCAAGAAGCCGCTGGAGATCGCCGTCGGCGAGAGGAACACGGCGGCCACGAATGTCACGCAGTTCGTGGAGGTATTAGAGGCGCCCCAATCAAGCGCGGAGGAGGAGGACGACGACGAGGAGGAGGAGGAGGAGGGCGGATCGACGTGTTGATTTTCTCGCAGCGTGGACCCCTCGAGGTCTGGACAGCTTTCCCAGGACAGGCGTCACGTCCCGAGCCCTGTTTTGATTGCCCATGGGGCCCCCAGCTCCCATGATGCCGAGAAGCGGCAGACACTTTTCGTCGTGGTTCGTTTCGCACAGAGAGGTCTGGCTGTCCTCACACCGTTTTCCGATCGATCTCTCAGAAGGAGGCAACGTACTCCGCCTGTAGAGGGACAGGCCCGCCTTAAACCTCGGGCTTCGGGGCAGGGGGGGCCTTCCCTGGGGCCTCGGAACCTCGGGGCGAGGTGGGGCGTTTTTTTGTTGTTGTTCCCTCTTCCGTTTTCGCGATGGCGGCCGTGACCGGCCCCTCCTTCTGAGAGGTGATCGATCGTTTTCCTTCGGCACACAGCTCGGAAAAGGTGCCGCCACACACGATCGCGCCGCGCCGGAGCAGACAGCCGCGCGGCGCGCGGGCACTGGGGGCAGAGGGGAGCCGACCAGAGAGTCAGCGGAGCACCGGCGGGGAGAAGAGGGGTTGGGGCTGGAGGATTGTTTCGGGGTCTTCTACGGGCCTCCAGCGCCCTCCGAGGGCCTCCCGCTGCTGTGGCTCTGGAGGGGAGAATCGAGATTCGAGGGTCAAGGGGGAGGAGTAGGAGTAGGAGGCTCGAGGGTCGAGCATCGAGAGGTTTCGGAACACGTTTTTGGGCCCTCCTGGGCATCTAAGGGGCCTCCAGAGACCTCCCGTGATCTCGGGGGACGTCCAGGGGACGGAGGCTTGAGGGCTTGACTTTTCTGTTGCCCCTCCTGGACCTGGCCTGCCGAGACCTCGGGGCAGGGGGACTGGGCTCGATGTTCGTGTGTTTGTTGGCACGTCTCGCGGCCCCTCCCAGGCCTGGCCTCCAGGGACCTTTGTTCGTGGTGTTTGACATGTTGGGGGCCCTAATCATCCTTCCTCCTGCTGATACATCTTTTGCTCCCCCTACGTACTCCTCGTCGTTGTCCTCGTTCTCGTCGATATCACCCCTCATCAGCCTGCTCGTTGTCCTCCTGCTGTTCCTCTTCCACCTGCTCCTCCAATTTCCTCCTCCTCGTTCTAGTCTCCCTCGTCCTGGCTCCCCGAAGGAGAGCCAGAAGTTCTACCGCCTCCTGCAGTTATTGGGCGAGTGGCACGAGCACGGCTCCATGATCATTTTCGTCCACCAGCAGAAGGAGCGGCGACGGCAGAAAGGAGGAGGAGGAGGAGGAGGAGGAGGAGGAGGAGGAAGAGGAGGAAGAGGAGGAAGGCGAATGAGGGGAGCTGCGAGGAGGCGAATGAGGGAAGCTGGAGCTCCTCCTCCTCCTCCTCCTCCTCCTCCTCCTCCCTCCTCCCTCCTCCTCCCTCTCCTCCTCCACCTCCTCCTCCCTCCTTCCTCCTCCTCCTCTTCCTCTCCTCCTCCTCCTCCTCCTCCTCCCCCTCCTCCTCCTCCTCCTCCTCCTCCTCCTCCTCCTCTCCTCCTCCTTCCTCCCTTCCCTCCCCTCCCTCTCCCCCTCCTCTCCTCCTCCTCTCTCCCCTCCTCGTCCTCTCCTCCCCCTCCCCTCCTTCTCCTCTCCTCCTTCTCTCCTCCTCCCTCCTTCTCCTCCTCCTCCTCCTCCTCCTCCTCCTCCTCCTCCCCCTCCTCCTCCTTTTCCTCCTCCTCCTCCCCCTCTTTTTCCTCTGCCCGCCGCTGCGCGCCGCAAAGTTGGGCGGCCACCGCGGGGAGTTCTGCCCTGTGGCCGCCCGCGGGCGCCTCGCGGGCGCCCCCGCGCGCTCGGCGGGTCCGCCGACGGGGTTTCGGCCGGTGCCTGCCCGTGGCCGCATCGCTTACACCGCGTAGGCGACGACGACGACGACGACGACGACGACGACGACGACGACGACGACGACGACGACGACGACGACGACGACGACGACGACGACTGCGACTGCGACGACGACGACTGCGGCGGCGGCGGCGGCGACGACGACTGCGACGACGACGACTGCGGCGGCGGCGGCGGCGACGACGACGACTGCGGCGGCGGCGGCAGCGGCGGCGGCGGCGGGGACGACGACTGCGACGACGACGACGACTGCGGCGGCGGCGGCGGCGGCGACGACGACTGCGGCGGCGGCGGCAGCGGCGGCGGCGGCGGCGACGACGACGAGATGGGTTTCGTGTCTTATTTGGCGTTCATTCTGGTGGCACCTCGACCGTAGGCGGTGACGCCCCCCGCGGCAGTGCAGTGGGGGCCCGTGCCAAGAAACATCTGCTTGCCTCAAGGGTGCCCTGAGTTTCTTGGGCGTTGGTGGTTTTGCCGTGGGAGGCGCGGCGTTCCCACACTAGAAATCGATGGACGTCCTGGGGTTCCAGGGTTGGGTTTCTTGTGGAAGGTTTCTTGTGGTCGGGCCCCTACTGTAGATCGCACTGCCTAGTTTGCACCGCGCAGTTGTTATTTCCACATAGCGTTCGCAAAGCAGCTTACAGCACATAGCTCATGACACATGGTGTGCACCATCTGGCTTGCACCACACAGCTTGCACAAGGCGCTCACAGCACACAACCATTTGCTCACTTCCAACAGTATACATAACATTCATGTATACACTTCATCAGATATCGCAACGTGCTGTGCACATGCTGCGAATATGCATAGCTGACACAACATATTTTGAGCAACCCCCGTTGTATTGCATAGCTTGCATCGCATAGCTTTAACATCATGTATTGTAGCTCGATTGCTGTACCTTAGCCTACACCACATAGATTGGATCACATATCTTGCACGTTCACAACGTAATGTAGCCTATTGTTGTTTTCGCAGTGGCAAGTATTTCTAATCTCTAGCCTCTACTCTGTATACGCTAGTCCATCGTCTCAGTAATCTCTACAGGTTGTTTAACACTATGCTCTTTGATTCATGCAACCCGCGCCATGCTCACTATAGTTCTACAGCGTACGATGTACACTCTACTCCAGACTATATTCAGTTCTCACTCTATATACCGTTCTCACCGTGCTCTAGTCGTTGTTCATACTCGAGCTACTCACTCTTTCTCTTTCTCTCTCTCTCTCTCTCGCACCCACACGTCTACATTCTGTACTCGCCACTTATGGAACTCTGGTGACCTGGCCGCATACTGGAATCATCGTAAGGCTTTCACCATGATGCGGGACCAACAACCATGGAATCACGGAACCCGGCGAGGCCCACCGAAGTCGGCAGCATTTTTCCGCCAAAGATTTCAAGTGCAGGATATCCAAGACCCATTCCGGAAACCCGGGGACCTGGCCGCCCACCGAAAGCGGCCATCGTTTGGTTGCCAGATGTTTACGATATGTGCGAGGACTTTTTCAGTGCGAGCACAGATTACCTGTGGAGATGTGCCAGCACCCCTATAGTGTTTGACAAGGCTGCCACTGGAGCAGGAAGCAAAAGGGTGGAGGACGCTGTGCCCAGCGACCGCGCGGCGGGAGGACGTGGACGAGATGTTCACGGAGCTGCTCAAGTTCGGCTACCCGCCGCTGGCGTTGCACGGCGGACAGGAGACCTTGGGGAGGGGCCCACCCCTGCGCGTCGTCTGGCCCGTCTCCTCAGCACAATCAGGGATCCGGGTTCGAGGGTCGAGCTTCAAGTCAGGCCTGTCCCTCTACAGGAGGAGAATTCAAAAAAGGGTCAAACAATAGTCTGGGGACGATTCTTGTGTTATTATGTTCATAAGATTGGAGTATGTTTCTGGGGTATCTTGAACTTTTTCGCCCAAACTCCCCCTGTAGGGGGACATGCCCGACCTAAGTCGAGCTGCGACGGTCGAGATGCTTCTGCGCCCTGGGAGGCTTCCTGGCCGCCACGACAGGGCTCCCGTCCCGAAGGCCCCGCCAGAGCGTGCCTCTCTGCAGAGGCCCGCGGGTCGGCTGCTCGACCCGCGGGAAGCCAGAGCCCCTCCTCCCCCTCCTCCTCCTCCTCCTCCTCCTCTCCTCCTCCTCTCCTCCTCCTCCTCCCATCCTCCTCCTCCTCCCTCCTCCTCCTCCTCCTCCTCCTCCTCCTCCTCCTCCTCCTCCTCCTCCTCCTCCTCCTCCTCCTCCTCCCTCCTTCTCCTCCTCCTCCTCCTCCTCCGCCTCCTCCCTCCTCATCCTCCCTCCTCCTCCTCGCTCGATCGGCTCTGGGCGAGAGGTTGGTCCCCGGGGCAGCCCCCGGGGTCCACAGGGCAGGTCTCCACCGGGCCTCGTATCCCTCGTTGCAGCCTCCCCTGCCCCAGCCTGGTGTCCCCATCCGCAGGTAGCTGGGCATCGGGACAGTGCAGAGGAGGAGGAGGAGGAGGAGGAGGAGGAGGAGGAGGGATCCCGCCGCCAGCTCTCTCTCTCTCTCTCTCTCCCTCGTCCCCTTCCCTCTCCCACCCACTCTCTCCCTCGCTTCCATCCCTGTTTATCTCTGCCCCCCTTCCCTCGGCCACCCTATCCCAAAAGCGTCCCCTCTCCATCGCCCGTGCCTGACTCCAGAGGCCACGGACTCACCCGCCTGGTCTGAGCCAGGCGTGGACGGCTGCCCGCAGCGGCGGTCGCATCTCATACTTCCCCTCCCGAGCGCCCCGGTCACCGGCCGGGCGCCCGCGTCTCGAAGCGGCGCTTGCGTTCTATGGGTTGCCCGCAGAGGGCGCAAAGATGATCGCACCTCGCGCGCCGCGGACGACGATGACGACAACGAGGACGACGACGACGACGACGACGACGACGACGACGACGACTGCGGCGGCAGTGGCGGCGGCGGCGACGATGACGACGACTGCGGCGGCGGCGGCGGCGGCGGCGAGAGCTCGCATCCACCCGTGGCGGCCACACGAGGGCGCGCAGACGGCCAGTCTGCTCCAATCCGCACGGGGCGGAAAGTGGTTGCCATCGCGCGGCGCGGGCCGGTCGGGAGAGGCGACCCTCTCCACAGCTCGGGGAAACGTGAGACTCGAGTGCGCCGGGACCTGCGGGTTTGCCGACGCTGTTTGACGAGCGCGTCCAGGGTTCTGGACGGTCCAGCTTTCGTGGGACGTCTGCAGCGGGAGTTCGCGTCAAATGTCAGACTGGGTCTCGTCATTTTCATATTGGCCCGGTCAGGCCAACCCGAGTCCCCAGAACCCGAGTTTTACGATTCCCCTCCACGGCGGCCGCGCGTGGTTGCGAAGGTCATCCTGGTCTGCTTCGTCGCGCAGCGTGGAAAGGCGGGAAGCCCGGCTCTGGTGCCCCTGTTGCGCCTCTCGCTCGTGAGCCGACCTCTCGGTGTGCTTCGGGCCCTCGTGCGGCCTGGTCGTCGGCCGGGCCTTTCTGCTGATATCGGGCCGAACGAGAGGGGGGGAATGAGGAAAGGGGGGGGTTACGGTAGGTTCGCGTCGTGTCGACCAGCGGCGACCCCAACGCGGGCGTTCAAGGTTGAACGCCGCCGGCGACCCAGAATCGATCGATGTTGAACGATCGGACGTTGCGGCAGCGGCCGATCGTTCAAGGTTGAACGATCCCTGCGGTGTCAAAAACCAACGCTGGGGTCGGCACGACACGAACCTGCCGTACGAAATCTGCCGCTTGCAGCTGGATTCCGCCCCGCCGTTCCTCGATACATGGGCGCCTCCCAGCGCCGGGAGGCGCCCGAACAACCAGCTGCGTGAGTTGATTCTCCACCCTGCCCTTAGCTATCCTACCCTTTCGTCCCCCCAGATGATGGTCAGAGCCCCGAGTCATCAGGGATAACTCGGGTCAGGGATAACTCGGCTTCGTTTTTCGGGAATCCAAACCCGAGTTACCCCGGACCCGAGTTACCCCGGATAACTCGGGCGTCCACAGCCCCACATCATCAGGGATAATTCGGGTCAGGGATAACTCGGGTTCGTTTTTCGGGAATCCAAACCCGAGTTACCCCGGACCCGAGTTACCCTGGATAATCCGGGCGCCCAAGATGGTTCGCCCCTTTGTTTCCCATCGCCGATCCAGGACCCCTTTTGATGTCTTGCGTGGCGAGTTGCAGGAAGGGTGATGGTGATGGTGAGAGCTCTGCCACGCGCAGAGGGGGGGGGGTAATTCGGGGGAGGGGGGAAGGCTACTTAGAGGTACCCCTGCTTCTGAGAAGTCGCGGGCCCTATCTACAGATGTAGGGCCGGTGCCTCCTCAGAAGCAGCCTCCTTCCAACAGGCTTTCTTCCCTCCTTCACACCCCCCTCGTGCGCGCCGCCAAAGACCATCGAGGATCATGTAGCCCCTAACCCTAAGAACAGACGTGCCCGCGCTGAGGCCCCCGCTTTTGCATGAGGGATACTAGATCTGGGCGGTGTGGCTTGACACATGTGCAGAAAAGACCCCCTATCCTTGATGTTCCTGGCCCGCCTAACTCAGGTCGCCTCCCAATCGGTTAGGTTAGGGGTCCTCTTATGCCTAAAGATCGGCCCCTGGGGTTGCAGTGGAGACCCATGCCAAGAAACACCCTGCTTGCCTCCAGGGCACCCTGGGTGTCTTCGGTTTCGGTGGGCTTGCTGTGGAGAGCGTGACGCTCCCACACGAAAAGTCAATGGACTCAGGAGGGAAAAAAACACATAGACACAATTAATCGTCGACCCCCCAGAAAATGTGGGAAAATATGGGAATTGAGCGGGAAGACAAAACCCAGAACATATAGGAAAATAGGGGGAATAGTTTTATCTGTGTGTGTGTATGTATCTGTGTGTCCTTGGGCCCCTTGATGGACGTCCTGGCGCCTCGGGGCTGGGTCTCTCGTGGACCGGCCTCCACTGTGTGATGCACCGCTGGCAGGTGCGCCGGAGAGCAAGAGGCCGCCAGGGGCGCGAGGGCACCGTCCGCGTCAGCGCCCCCCCCCTGCTCGGCCGGGAGCGGAGCGACGATGGGGGCGATGGGGCCGCGATGCGGCCGGGGGGCGGCGAGGGGGGCGATCTCGGGAGCCTCGGGACCGGGGTCAGTGCAGACGGGGGTCCGCCTGGGCACCGGATCCTGCAGGATCCTGCGAAGACCCCCTCTGGCGGACCTGGGTCAGGGAGCCGCTCGTGGCCGCGAGGCGGCCGCGCATGCCGGCTGACCCGGGTTTGCGAAGACCTGCGCTGCAGTTTTTTTTGTCCTGCACTGCAGTGTTTGGTTTCCTGCTGACCCGGGTCTGCATTGACCCGGGTCAGAAGATCCCCGACGATCGGGGTCGGACAGCCACACGCCGCCCAGGAGTGGGTGGCTTTGCTATCGGTGGCATGCCGCCGATCTGTCGGCGATGCATCACCCACTCCTCGCCACATCGCCGACCTGTCGTCGAAGAGTCGCCGACTCCGGGTCGATGTCTGCCGCCCCATGCCAGTCCCCCCCTATCGTTGCCCCGCAGCCCCCTCCTCCGCCGCACGCGCTTCTCTCAGAGGCGACGGTGGGGGCGAATAGCCCGGGGGGGGGGGGAAACGTGTGTCCAGGGGCGCCAAGGGTCCATGCCTTCGGCGAGGCTCCTGGGCGATTTCGTGTAACGCCCGCCCCTGGGCCATTCGCCCCCATCATCGCCCCCCGTATCGGCACCCAGAGTGAACCGAGCGGGGGAAATGTTCTTCCAGCTCCTTCGAAGGACCAGCAGGACCGCGACTTCACGCTCCAGGACTTCAAGGACGGCGTGTCCAATATCCTGATCGCGACCTCGGTGGCGGCGCGCGGCATCGACGTCAAGTCAGTGATCTTGGTGATCAACTTCAAGGTGGCGGGCGAGATCTACCATCCAGATTTTAGCGCGGTTCTTTTCAGGATACAGGTTCAGGTATCCCACACATGGGCTCTGTGGAATTGTAGGGGTGCGTCACACGTGTTGCGATCCCTGTGGTGTTAGCCATGCGGTGAAACGTACGTTGGGCAATTAATGTTGTTGGCATCCGCGCGTAACCACCTCCAATGCTCGTGTACACATCTCACCCGCCAAAACGCAACTTGTTCGCACAACTCACTTGGCTTACAAACGCGAGGACCTTTCTCATGCAGATCCATGTCTCGTTCGGGCGAGCGCTGCTGATGAAAACGATGATGGTGTCGCTGACGAGTAGTGCGGCGACAACGACGATGAGAATGACGATGATGATGTTGACGACGGCGGCAGGGGTAATGACGGCGATGGTTGATAACGATACAAAAGGTGCTGATGTTGAGGATGATGATGATGCTGATGATAAAGCTGATGATGATGCTGATGATGCTGATGATGATGATGATGATGATGATGAAAAGTATGATGATGATTATGGCGATGACGGTGGCAATGATGATGCTGTCGATGATGGAAGCGAAGGTGTTGAGGGCGAAGACAGCGATGACGACGATCGCGATACTGATGTCGGTTACAACAGTGGGGATGATGATGGCGACAATGGTGATGGTGATAAACGAATATGGCGATTCTGTTTGCAGCGATGGCGTTGGCGATGATGAGGAAGTGCGAGCACGGAAGTTCACGAATTGGAAAATATTGTGTGTTGATATACGGTTGCATTTGTATGTGTTGAAATGACGGGACAGCCAATGAGGTTTGAACGAATTCGATGTGCGCGTGTGGAGACGGACGCGCGTGGCCCGCAGTGTTTCATTTGACATATTTGGCGGGTGCGCGATGATGATGCCTGCTTTCGGAAGGCGCGCGCGTATGGCCAGCATTGCATCATTCGACACAATGGCCAAACACTCAGTACATAGCCATTTTGGTTCAGGTAAACTTTGAGTCTCCAGGCGATCAGACTTTCAGGCCCTCGGGCTCCGAGCAACCTCGCGGCGCCACGAGCAGCATGCAGGACGAGGCTGGCTGCCCCCGCCGGACGCACTCGGACCCGGTGCCCTCGCTTGCGCCCTTCGGAGACCGCGGGTCGCGCGGCCCCGGCGCGGGCGCGAGGCGCGCCGCCCGGGAGCCAGCAGCCACCGCGGTGTCGCCGTCTCCTCGCATCAGGCGGCTGCCAGGGCTCGCGTCGCTGTCGCAGCGTGTGGCGGCCCTCAGTGATGCGCGCGCACAGCTGGGGTCGCCCGCCGGAGTGCGCATGCGCCGTGCCGACGCCGACCTCGGCGCGCCCCGTGTGGGCGCGCTCCCGCCGGTGCCCCTGCTCGGTCCGACCCAGCGAGCGGTCGCCTGGGCCGCCAGCGAGGCGCGCGACCCGTTCGAGGAGCGTTTTGCCGCCAGCGCGCGCGGGGAGGTCGTGTCGGCCCGGGCGAACGTGCGAGGCTTCAGTCAGGATCTTGGTTCCGCCGCTGAGCCTCCACTCTGCCGCTGCTTGGGCGGGGTTGCATTCTCCTCGGAACCTCGAGTCAAGCTGGCTTGGGCTATCTAGCCTCAAAGCAGCGAGAAGTAATGGTAAAGATGCGTTAGAACTTTTTTCATGTTTTCTTGCTATCCCGCGCGGCCAGTGACGGGTGGTCGAGGACAACTGCTAGAATATCTTGCATTTGCATAACGTATTCCGAGCCAATCGCAACAGGACATAATTCGCGTCCTCGGGTCCCTGACAGGTTGACCACCGCTGGTCAGATGACTCCATTGTTCTACATCGGTGGGAACCGCATCGGTCGTACCCGTTAATTTTTGTGAAGTTTTCGAGTCAAATCTCGCGGTTTCGATTCGATCTGTGGCTGAAGAAGCCATCCACATCCCTTGCTCTCGTGCCCACCGTGCCAAATCGGTGGGTGCGGGGGGACGAGGTGCAAGGACGTTGCTTGTGCAGAGCACAACCGTCCTTCAACAGATGTTGCTTGTACATTGATTGGCGATCTCGAGAACCTGATCTACTACAACTCGGTTCGCAGGTTCGGCCTGCGTGCTGCCAGCAGCGATCGCCAAGTTTCATTGCCGCTGGTTTTGTTGTTCTGTTCCCAAGACAAGTTTAGTTTCGTATTTGCCACTGTGGACCCAGTGTCGTTCAGTAGCCACTTGAACAGAACAGTTAGCGTTCAGTAGCCAGAGTGGTAAACACTTATTGGTGCCTTATGATTCCAGCGGGAGCGCGCACGGATATCGGGCATGGTCATCCTTGGTGGACAATGTGGTGAATTTACACCAGTGAGCAATTTGCTTGTTGATGTTCACATGCGCGCGCATGTGGCCCACGTGGTATTGTTTGATAGGGAGCACACTTGATGGATGTTTGCGCAGCTTGGTATTCTTTGACATGGGTGATGGCGGGCGCGGTACCGCGGCGGTTAGTATGAGTGGCCGTGCATAACACATGTGTCAACAATACGCGGAGGCGAGCGGAGAAGTCTGGCCTTGGCGTTGGGTTAGATTTTAGCTGTTCCTCAATAACTGTTTGCATGCAGTGATTCACGTTTGGGCTTCCTTGCGAACTCGATGGGTCAGCCGAGGTTTCGCTTGGTGCCCTCCCGTGGGCGCCTCGTGGGCGCCTCGTGGGTGCCACGTGCGTTGGGTGGGTCAGCCGAGGTTTCGCATGGTGCCCGCCCATGCGCGCCTCGTGGGTGCTTCGCGGGCGCCTCGTGGGTGGTTCAGCCGAAGCTTCGCCTGATGCCGACCCGTGGGCGCCGCGTGGGTGCCTCGTGGGCGCTTCGTGCTCAAGGCTTCCGCATACTCGCACCACGTTCAAGTTGGGCCTGTCTCTCTACAGGAGGCATATGCAAACATAGCACAACCATATTCTGGGGACAATGCTTCGAAGTGTTTGATGTCATGTTTGACATGTTGTTGAATTCTTTCATCCAAGATCCGCCCGTAGGGGGACATGCCCGACCTAACGCCATATCGCTTACACCACGTAGCTCAAGCGGCACAGCTCACGCCGAGCGCGCTGGGTGGGTCAGCCGAGGCCTCGCCTGGCGCCCTCCCGCGGCTGCCGCCCTGGCGCCCCACGCTTCGAGGGGGTCATGACGAACTAACAACACACACCCATACCCATAGGGGGGTCGGAGAGGGCTATGGGTGCGTGTTGTCGAATGGGGGTCCCCGCTCGAACGGAAGCGTTCCCCAGGGTCGGACAACCCGCACCCATACCCATAGCCAGTCCTCCTTTCAACGACCCCCCCATGGGTATGGGTGTGTGTTGCTCGTTCGTCAGGTCAGCCGGGGCCTCGCCCGGTGCCCGCCCCTCGGCGCACGGGGGGCGCCTCGTGCGGGGGGCGGCCGCGCTGCTTGCACCGCACAGCTTGCGCCACACAGCTTACGCCACACACGTGGCACGGCATAGCCTACGACGTCGACTGGCGGCGCGCACAAGGGGGCGAAGGGAGGGGGGAGGGCTTCTTAGAAGGAGGCTGCTTCTTAGAAGGCGCCGGCCTTACATCTGTAGATAAGGCCCGCGCCGTCTGAGAAGCAGGGGTGCTTCTAAGAAGCCCCCCCCCTCCCCCCACCCCCCTCTGCGCGTGGCCGAGACGACGACGACGACGACGACGACGTCATCGTCATCGTCATCGACATCGCCATCGACCCCACGTTGCACGGCGTGGCTCGAAGGATAACAAAAGCGCCATCAACATAAGCTCTTGGCGCTCCGCGCGGGTTTCTTGTGTCCGCGCTGGGCCCTCCCGGCGGCGCCTCCGGCGCCGCCCCTGGCGAGCGGAGCACGCCAGGGAGGAGGGGGGGGGTCCAGCGCAGGTCCAAGAAGTCCGCGCGGAGCGCCAACAGGTTCTTTTTATGGCGTTGTTTCTTCCTCTGGGCGGCGATGTCAAACAGGGCGGGCGCAGTCGACTAGAACGCTGTTGCGGCAAACATCGGCGAAGAAATCTCTGCGCGACCCTCACCAAGTAGGCCGTGCTTGGTCTGCAGCTCTGTCTGCGTCGGCTCTGCCCGAATCTCCGTCCGCCGGAGGTGCCAGACCACCTCGAGGACTACATCCACAGGACACGCGGCGCCCCGGCCCTGCTTTTAAGTCGGGCCTGTCCCCCTGCAGGGGGATTTTCGACGAAAACAATACCCCCAACATAGCCCAAAAATAATCAAAAAATAGTCTGGGTACTATTTTTGAGTATTTTTTTACCTTTCGGGTGCATGTTTGGGGTATTTTTTATTTTCGTCGAAAATCCCCCTGTAGGGGGACACGCCCGACAACCCTGCTTCCTTCTCGGACACGTGTCGGTATGGCTCCGATGCGGAGCTCGTCTGCTCGAGCGGGCCCGGCAGTTCCGACTGGGTCTTGCACCCCACGCGCGCACCCTACCTCAATCTAGGTCCAAGCCTCCAGTACCCAGTGAACAATACCATGCCCTTTGACTTCTACACGTGCTGTAACCATGTACGGATTTGTGTGAGCACCCGTACGCCAATCCCGTACCACCATTCTGTTGTATCCCCATCGTTTGTAGTTCCCCTATAAGTGCTTGCAGTGAAGGGTTCCTAGCGGATATTGAATGATTTGGCGAAAGTTTCCCGCCGATGTTGGTAGCCGGTTGGGTTCCCGGTACCAGGTTCCCGGGTTCCTGGTTATTGGTTCCGGGCCGATCTCGATGGGTTCCGGGCTCCTGGGTTCCCGGTCGATCTCTTGATCGATCCCAGTTCAAACCATCCATTGATTGGGGCTTTTCTTTGCTGTAGTAGCTTTTTAAACATGGAATTACGGACTTGTCCGCAGTAATGTTCGCCTTGCCGTATCAGCGCCCCAGGAAGGATCCCAAATAGATATTAACCGGGGTTTATGATGTTATTGGCCCGGGTTCATAATGTCTCCCCGGGAACGTTACGAACCTCGGTTTCAATGTGGGATATTGATTGGGGTTCATAATGCCCCCTCCGGAACATTATGAACTTTGGTTTATAATGTTCCTGGGATATCGGCCCCAGAAATTGTTGATTTGGGTTCATAATATTCCGGGGATACTGACTGGGGTTTACAATGCCCCCGGAATATTGAACCCGGTTTTCGTAATTCCGGAATGATATAGTAATTATCCGTAAGGGCTTCGCCCCATGCCGCTGGCCCCCTGTCTCGGATAATGGGAGATGCAGAAGCTAAATCATGAGGTCTGGGCGCCGCCGTGAAGCAGAGTCGGGACCTGTTTGTTTTTCGACCCTGACCAGACGGATCTGCGTGAGGGGTGCCACCAGATTTCAGAAATGTAGCAAATCTTCTGTGTTTTTGCACCCTGACCCCGCCGATCTGCGTGAGAGGTGCCACCGAATGTCAGACATGTTGCACATCCGTTGTGTTTTTGGACCCTGACCCCGCTGATCTGCGTGAAGGGTGCCAGCAAATTTTAGAAATTTTGGAAATCCCATGTGTGTTTTTGACCCTGACCCTGTCGATCCGCGTGAGGGGTGCCATCGAATTCCAAAAATGTTGACAATCCCATTGGTTTTCGGACCCTGACCCCGCCGATCTGCATAAGGGATGCTTTCGAATTTCAGACATGTAGCAAATCCCTTGTGTTTTTGGACCCTGACCCCGCTGATCTGTATAAGGGGTGCCACCGAATTTTAGAAATGTGGCAAATCCTATGTGTTCTTGGACCCTGACCCCGCCGATCTGCGTGAGGGGTGCCACCAGATTTCCAGAAAGCACCCTCACCCCGCCGATCTGCGTGAGAGGTGCCACCGAATGTCAGACATGTTGCAAATCCGTTGTGTTTTTGGACCCTGACCCCGCTGATCTGCGTGAGGGGTGCCAGCAAATTTTAGAAATTTTGGAAATCCCATGTATTTTTGGACTCTGACCCCGCCGATCTGCGTGAGGGGTGACACCAAATTTTAGAAATGCGGCTAATCCCTTATGTTTTTGGACCCTGACCCCGCCGATCTGGGTGAGGGGTGATAATTTTCACCCACCCCAGCAATTCAGACAACACGCTCAGGGCGTGCTAAACCTGCCCGTTTGGGCCTCCCCCCCTCGCGTGGTCCATCAACAAGGAACAGTAAGCAGCAAGAAGCAGAACTGTAACAGTGGAAGAAACTGGAAGCTGCAACTGGAACAGGAAACTGCAAACCTTCGGCCTACAGCCTGGTGACCCCACAAGGGGGCTGTCGGATTACTTTCCCCCCAACCCCCGGGTTCCCCATTTGGTTTTCCATGTCGGAATACTGACCCCGGTTCATTATTTCGAGGAGATAATAAACCCGGATTCGTAATGTTCCCAGAAAATTGGCCCCGGGTGAATTGATTATTTTGGGATGATAATGATTGAGCCTTGGGGGCGCCGTTTGAGAGTACGTTCCGGACTGAAATAAACCTTGGTCCATAATTCTGGGATATGATAGGTTGATTATTCCGGAAAGATCATGAGTCGGCCGGGGGGGGGCGGCTGAGCCCGATCCATTCACAAGACAAATTCTTTACGCTTCGCGTATCCCCACCAGCCCATCTCACAGCAGCAACTCTCGCGAAGCATGCCGACAGTCGTGTTTCTCAGGCGTGTGTCCGCTTGGCCCCGCATATCTCCCCTGTTCCTCCTTCCTCCCGCCTCCTTGTACATCCTCCTTGTGAGGGGAGCGGGAGAAGGACGAGGCGGAGGAGGAGGGAGAGAAAGCGCTCCTCGTGATTTGAGTCGTTTGGGGTTTCTCGTCCTGGTGTGAGTCGTTCGGGCCCTTCTTCCTGGTGTGAGTCGTTCGGGCTCTTCGTGGTGTGAGTCGTTCGGGCTCTTCGTCCTGGTGTGAGTCGTTCGGGCTTCTCGTGGTGTGAGTTGTTCGGGCCCCTCATCCTGGTGTGAGTCGTTCGGGCCCCTCCTCCTGGTGTGACTCGTTCGGGCTCCTCGTGGTGTGAGTCGTTCGGGGCCCGCGTCGTGGTGTGAGTCGTTCGGGCTCCTCGTGGTGTGAGTCGTTCGGGCGCCTCGTCCTGGTGTGAGTCGTTCGGGCCCCTCCTTGTGGTGTGAGTCGTTCGGGCTCTTCGTGGTGTGAGTCGTTCGGGCCCCTCGTCCTGGTGTGAGTCGTTCGGGCTCCTCGTGGGGCCTCTTGGGGGCCTCTTGGAGCCTCGGGGCCTCTTGGGGGCCTCTTGGGGGCCTCTTGGGGGCCTCTTGGGGCCTCTTGGGGGCGTCTTGGGGGCCTCTTGGGGGCCTCTTGGGGCCTCGTGGGGCCTCTTGGGGGCCTCTTGGGGGCCTCTTGGGGGCCTCTTGGGGCCGCTTGGGGGCCTCTGGGGGGCCTCTTGGAGGCTTCTTGGGAGGCTCCTGCGGGCCTCTTGGGGCCATCTTGGGGCCTCTTGCGACCTCCGCAGAAGCGCAAAGGAGAGCTGCCCCCTGAGAAGGACAAAATGAACCCAAAACCTTTTGTAAAATCAATGATTTTGCTATGAGGGAAGATGAGCGCGGCCCCCTCAGAAGGCCAAAATGGGGCCAAAACCCTCGTAAAATCAATGATTTCTGCTTCAAAGACGAGAAGAGGGGCCAAACTGTGCCCCCCCGTCGGGGCCAGAATCCTCGTGAGGGTCGTCGTTTTTTGGCCCTCCCAGGAGTCGGAAAAGACCCCTCCAACGACCCGCGGGACCCCCTCTCCAGGTCCAGGGGGAGGGGGTAGGGGGAGGGGTAAACCCCTCCCCGAAGGGGAAGAAGGGGGTTGGGGGATTGAGAACAGAGAAAGCTCGCTAAACCACTCACGCCCAAAGGGCTGCTGGGATTACCCACAGGGTATCATTTGAAGATAATGAACCTAGGTTTCCATTCCTAGAAAATCAACCACGGTCGAGGAGGATTTCGGAGGTGGCCTCCAGCGCCCATGGAGCAGCATCCGGCCCATCCTGCCATCTTTTCTGTGTCGTGGACCGGGGGCTTTCGGGAGGCCTGGGCCTCCTTGGGATACCTCCTGAGCGCGCATTGGAGTCCAGGAGCGCCCAAGATGGCCCGTGAGTTGGGAGTTCGGGGCCTGGGCCGTTGTAGAGCAATGCTGAAGATAATGCGGCATGTCAGTCGCTGACTTGACGATAGTTGCCGTTTTCGAGATCGACGGTCAAGGAGGAGGCGTAAGGATCGAGGATCAGCAATCTGGATTTTGTTGTTGGGCTTCTGGAGGCCTCCACGGACATCCGGAGAAGTCTGGGATGTTCGCATACAGAAAGCTCAGAGGTTATGTTGTTGGTCCCATCCCGTGCTCACCCAGTTGTTCATTGGGTTTTCGTTTCGAGGAGTACATTGTTCGCGCAAATGTCATCCGCCCATTCTCGCTTCTTCCTCCTCATGCTTTTGCATCGTGGTTTCTTCCCATCCCTTCTTCGTTGGATTATGGTTTTGAATAGTGCATTGCTCGCGTGTCTTCACTTTCCTTCCCTCCCGCCTAATCTTGACTCTCCTACCTTCTACTTGCATCGTTCCTACCACCCTGACTCGGCTCCCTCGGGCGCTGCCAACTGCCCACCTGTCAGACATTTCGTGGGCTCCTGAGTCGTCCAGCGGAGGAGTGGCCGTGCACGCGGACCCAAACGAGACCTCGCGGCCTTCATGAGGGACTGCTAATTGCGCAAGGCTGTCGCCATGTTCGTGGGTTCTTGTGAGGTCCGGCGCAACGGAGGTGTACGCGGATCCAGACGAGACCTCGCGGTTTCTTTTTGGGGGGCTTCCATTGTCGCAATTGTTTTGCGTGGCCGTGAGAGAACCAGCAGAGTGAAGGTGTACCCAGTCGAGACCTCGCGACTCCTGTGGTTGCCAACTGCGCAACTGTCGATATTTTCTTGAATTCCTAACAGGTTCAGCGCAACGGAGGTTCACGCGGGACCAGACGAGATCTCGTGGCTTTCTGGAGGCTGTTGAATGTGGTCTGGTTTTGTTCGGCGAAGCGTTCAAGAGTGTTGCAGGTGTTGTTCCTAGGTATGAGGGGCTTCTATGGATAGTCGCCTCCCGTCCTGAAGGGTTTGGTCACGTCTCTGGTAATGTTCTTGAGCGATGTCGGTGGGAACCGCTCTGGCGCATCTCTCGCGCATGTCAGAAAG